CCGCGATCCCGGTCGGTGAGCCCGTCGCGGCCCTGGACCGCCGGGCCGGAGGTCGCCCGCCGTATACACGCGACGTTAACTGCCGCTCGTATCTCCGGATACCTACGTGCACGTATCGAGATATTTTGTCATCGGTAAAGGCACTTAAGCGATTTTAAATATGGGCCCCATACAGAGTGAGGGGCTCTGGCGCGACGAACCGCCCGCACCGAGCGGTTTCTACGGCGCTGCCACTGGGTTTACACCCACAGCGATCGCTGGTGTAAAATCAAAAATTAAAAAAAAAAACAAAAATAGTTTAACGTTATTTGTACGGGTGGTCAGGAACGTTACCTACATTTTCCCGTTGACCAATCAGTCTGGTAAAAAAGTCGTTCTGACGGAACTTTAATGTTACCGGCACAACCGTATGCGCCGGCGTTGTGCCGAGCCAGTTCGAGTTTTGTGCCGCCTACACCCGTAGCGATCAATGGTGTAAAATCAAAAATTAAAAAATATGAGAAAACCGTACGTACAACGTTATGTCGTATTATGAACGAAAATAATATATCATACAGGTAGGGCAGTGCGAATAGATACGTTGCCTTTACGGCAGGTTTTTCGCCGATTGGATCGTATTGCCGCCGGCGCCATAAAACGGGTCAACGGCAATCCCGTCTGGAAACCGACACCGATCGGCGATATTCTTTGCCAAAACCTCCGGAAAAACCGAACGGAAGGCTAATGTGTGTGGTAAATAACGGCCATTTACAGAATGAGATGATTTTGAAAACGATTTCCGTCGATCTTGTNCGAACGGAAGGCTAATGTGTGTGGTAAATAACGGCCAGTCACAGAATGAGATGATTTTGAAAACGATTTCCGTCGATCTTGTATCGTGCCTTATTGTTCGTCACGTGAAAACCGCGGAACGCATATATAATTGTCATTGTTGAAATTATATCGGCCGACCGACACGGCAGTAATGCGTTATAATTAATTCATATACAGACATTTTATTTGATATATTTAATTAATAAAATAATTCTTGTAGAAATTGAAATTGCCAGTCCGTATCATCATTATCCGCATTTCCAGGTCCTGATAAATTTGCGCATTTTCCGTCTCGTGTGCTTTCTAGAAACGACACCCAGGGCGAGCAGTTCCCGACGTCGTTCCTTGAAGCCCGACCCGTCCCGGAGGGAAAGCTTCGGGAAACTTTTGAGTGTTGATTTGGCTTTTCATTGTTGATTTTTAAGGCAAATTCTACCGTGCTTTTTAACCCAACTTCCAGGGGATTTTAATCGGGGGTCCTCCCCTAGGACGGTTGCCCGCCAAAGCTGGAGAGCCCGTCCTACCCTGTGCTGTCCGCGACCGCTTATTCGTCCAATCTAATGATATGGCTTATTTCACGACTGCTCTGTATATCTACAGGAACATTTCCCTATCCGCAACCATGAAAACGCGGCTATGACATGACGTGCTGCACGCGGGTCACAATATTGAGTTCTATTTCAAGCCTTACGGCTAGGTGGATCCTTGGACCTCGGATGGCGACGGAGATGCCAGTCTCTAGACGAAACACACTGCACTGCTATAGATAGTATTATGTACTAGCTGAAACACCGAAAACATAATTTTGTGAACATTTCGATCCTTTTGCGTGGAAATGTGCGAGAATATAATATTAAAGGTGATAAACAAATTGAATTGAGATTGCCGTTTTAGAAACCGGTTTTTTTCAAACCCGAGTTTATAATAAAAAAAAACCAAAGTGTTTTTTGTAAAATTTTATAATATACATTACGAACAAACATATATTTACATATTATTTATATACGTTTGTAAATTACAAATTATAATTATACTTCGTCTTGGTTTACGTGTAAAAAATGATTAACAATAATAATCAAAAATTGTATCGATTCTAAAGTTATAAAATTTAAAATTTCGTTTTCATAAAGTCGTTAAAGTATTATATATTATGAAAATAACATCCCTGTATTTACGGTTAAAATAAAATAAAAACTCGTTAAAATATAAATAGTAAAAGTTCGAGTTAATATAAATTAAAATAAAAAAATTTAAAAATGTCAGTTTAAAATACAATAAATAATAGAATTGAAATCAGAAGCTTAAATATACTGTCGTAGAGTTGACTATTGATAATGTTATCCTCAAAATTCAGCCGAGTAAGACATAATTTTCTGACGATCGCTATGCACCGAAAACAAATAAGTACACGAATCATCATATTATATCAATGTATTATAAAAAAAAAAATAGAACTTTTACTAATAATTTTAGGATAAATAACAGTATACGAACCTCGGATTTATCAACTTTTCTTGGTAGATGTAGGGCCAATCCGGTGCCATCGATCTCGCGTTTCACACAATGAATTCGCGTCCCCCGTAGGCCTCGCACACGACCGACGGGGTGTACGAGTCTTGGTGGAGGTACTCGGGACCTCCCCACGAGGGAAACGTGACCACTACATTTGTCCGTTGACCAATCGGCCCGGTAAAGAAGTCGTTTTGACGGAACTTCATGTTGGTTGCCCGGTGCCATCCATACACAACAGGGTCGAACCGCAAAATAAGTAGATGCCGCTGTATCCAATACTCTTTTGACGCGGTTCACTTCTAGGATCGTGGTCTTACCAGGAAAAAACAACAAATACTTATTATAAACATTTCCTTGCGAGTATTATTGTAAATACACGATTTACAAGTATTCGAGTAAAATATTATTTTTTCCTCGGTGTCGTTTTGCAGAACTTATTGACGATGCCGGTATACTTCTGTGCTTCCACAGAAATGGAAATCGAAATGGATTGTTATAGTCTATTTCCAAATGACGTGTTATTTTATTCAAATTATAAATTTACGAAACAATTGCGTATTCTTGGTCGTACTATATATTTTTAAAAGAATTTAATTATTACAAAACTACATGTTATTTTATCGCGAAGAATTATAGGTACGACATTTTACATACCGTGCATAGTTAAACGTTTTTGTCCCGTCAATACCTATAGTGCGGGGTTCCGAAATAAAATAAAATAATTATATTAAGCTTATTTTGTCTATAAAAAACGATAACAATTTTTACTAACAACCATGTTATCTTCGGGCTTCTTCTTCGTCTTCTTTTCCGTTACTTAAAGACGTTGTTCGTAGTCGTTGTTATGACGCTGGACAACATCTTGTAGAAATTTAAATTGCCATTCCGTATCATCATTATCCGCATTTCCAGGTCCTGATAAATTTGCGCATTTTTCGTCTCGTGTGCTTTCTAAAAACGACACCCAGGGCGAGCTGTTCCCGACGTCGTTCCTTGAAGCCCGACCCGTCCCGGAGGGAAAGCTTCGGGAAAATTTTGAGTGTTGATTTGGCTTTTCATTGTTGATTTTTAAGGCGAATTCTACCGTGCTTTTTAACCCTACTGCCAGGGGGTTTTAATCGAGGTTTCTCGCCGAGGACGGTTACCGTCTAGGCCAGAGGGCTCGTTATACCCTGTGCTGTTCGTGACCAGTTATTCGTCCAAATTAAATATATGGCTTATTTCGCGGCTGCCCTGTATATATATACAGGAACATTCCCCTATCCGCAACCATAAGGACGCGCCCAGAGGCATGACGTGCTGCACGCTAGTCACAATATTGAGTTCTATTTCAAGCCTTACGGCTAGGTGAATCCATAGAACTCGGATGACGACGGAGATGACAAGTTTCTTGACGAAACACAATACATAGGTAAAAAACTGTTGTAACTGGTTGACGAGTATTCAAGTATAAATTGACATCGGCGTCGTCTCTACAGAACTTTTCCACGGTCCCGTTATACTCCTGTGCATCTTCTCGGTTGTACGTCGTCTTCGTTGCTGGAATAGTATAGTACATCGAAGAATATGATTATAACCAAATGTGTATTACTTTTTTTCAAACTATACAGTTTCGGAAAAACTTCATAGTCTTGGTTGTACTATATATATTTTTATAAGAATTGAATTTTTTGAACTGCGTTTCACCACCAAAAATTATGGGTATTTTTACATACCGTTCACGATTAATAGCTTCTGACTGGTTAACACCACTTATGCGAGGTTCTAAAGTAAAATACATTATTTTAATTGATTAGTCGTGTTTCAGCTATTTAAAACGTTAAAAATGTCTACTTACAACCATGTATTATGTAGGAAATTGTATTCGACGCCCTCGTTATTCGTACTTACGGGCATAAGATACACGTAGAAGACGTCGAAATTCAAATTGCCAGTTTGTTGTACTAAAATCCATAAAGCCGTTATTTCCAAATTCCATAATTATACTGCCGCAGTCGTCGAGTGTACCCCTACGAGTTAGAGAGCTTCAGGAAACTTGATTGTTTGTTGGCTTTTTATTGTTGATTTTTAAGGCAAATTCTACCGTGCTTTTTAACGCTACTGCCAGGGGGTTTTAATGGGGGTTTCTCCCCTAGGACGGTTGCCCGCCAAAGCTGGAGAGCCCGTCCTACCCTGTGCTGTCCGCGACCGCTTATTCGTCCAATCCAATGATATGGCTTATTTCACCGCTGCTCTGTATATCTACAGGAACATTTCCCTATCCGCAACCATGAAAACGCGGTGATGGCATGACGTGCTGCACGCGGATTACAATATTGAGTTCGGTACAAGCCCTACGGCTAGGTGGATCCTTAGACCTCGGATGACGACGGAGAGGCCAGTCTCTAGACGAAACACACTGCACTGCTATAGATAGTATTATGTACTAGCTGAAACACCAAAAAGTTTCCTGACGAAACACAATACATAGAAAAAAAAAATGTGCGTGTAAAATTATAAAAGCAAAACAAATTTTAAATTCCATAAGAACGTGTTTGAAAAAGACTAGTAGTCCGAAGTGTACCTATTGTAAGTAAACATTATTAAAATTAATTTATGCTTTAATTGATTACTGGAATGTACATTGTGTACAAAGTTCAAAAGGGAGGGGCTTAAAAATAATAAAATTAACTTACCTATAAGAGGTTTTCTGCGTCGCAGCCACATGGCTACTGTATTCTTTGCGTTTCTGTCAATCGTTATTATTAAATTGTCATTACATATGATAGATAAAATATTTTTCGAAAGCTGAGTCATACATCCGTGATGAGTCACGAGTTCAACCATAAAATTTATCATATTTTCAGCGTAAATTTCATTTGTAGGCTTGGTATGGTGGTTCTTCAAAAACTCTCTCAATAATAACGAAACTATTCTCCGGAAATGGAGAGCCATTCGAATCATTCGATAAAATGTAACACATAGAGTACAGAGGACAGGCTAATAATAATTGACAAATAAGAAATCCACTTATTAATATGAGATTATGACATCTTGTGATAAGATTAATAAATGATAACCATGATAACAAAATACCTTTGTAAATCAATGTAGATTGAAAAATGAAAATAAGTAATAATTATAACCTTGGCATATTTTTATCCTTTTCACTTTTTTAAATTTTGGCCAGGGGTTTCTCCACTAGGACGGTTGCCGGCGAACCAGAGTTCCGTAAAAAATATTTACGTACATTAGCAAAATGATCGTTTAGCATATTAAAAACAATACCTGAAGCGATTTTTTTCTTATTAATTCAATATACCCGGCACATCCGTATCGTCATTCATTATCCGCATTTCCAGGTCCCGATGAATTTGCGCATTTTCCGTCTCGTTGGCTTTCTGATAACGACACCCAAGGCGAGCCATTCCTGACCGTCGTTCCTTGAAGCCTGACCGCTCCCGGTAGGAAAGCTTCAAGAAACTTATGTTCGGAACCAACATCACTGTAATCCTTTCATTACTATTTTTACCACCATGACATTTTTTGTTCTTAAATGTTAAATTGCGATCCGGTTAACACTTGTAAAAAAGTGTCCGGTGTCATCGGCAATTAAAATATCGCTAGCTTCATAATCAACTAATAAACTGGTTAACTCATTTTTCTAGTCTAGTGTAATATTCCGGTCAACACTCAAACTATATCCACATATTTTTTTGAAAGTCAAATCATGATTTTTTTTAAATTTTTCCAACCAACCCTCCCTAGCTTGAAAATTTGTAATATCTTTATTGGTAGAAAAAATCTTAGCTTTCTTTTTAAATAGGTCCTGCTATCGGAATATCATTTTGCCTGCGTTAAGTAAACCAAGCCATAAGATATTCATTCTTCCAGACCAGTGTACTCACATTTTCTCTGTTTGATATTCGATGAATAAGGTGTTCATGTTGTAAGTTGTTCCTTTGTTTGAGTATAGTTGAAAGCGTGGAAACTGAGATACAAAAACGTAGAGCAAACATCTTTTTTTTTCACTTGCTATAACTGCCGCGATCACTTTTTTATTGTCGGCGATAGACAAACACTTATACTTTACGGACCCATATTCCGAATGACTACGTTTTATTCGACTTTAACAACCGTTTACCCAATGTAGAGGTTTATTTTGGTAAAATGATACGATTAAAGGCTAGAAGGAGGTAGGTAAGGTACGATAAACTAAGATAATATTTAATCGCTGTCGTTATTAGTACGTCAAATAATAAACGTAATAACATAAATAATAAAAAATAAAAAAAGGTCGATATAATCTTTATTACGTACATATAATCGCGTTTAAGAACATTCGAATTTATATAGAAGTTCTGGAAAAAAATTTCGATTTATAGGGTGTGTTCGTCCAACAGACGTTTCACATTATCGAGGGAACCGGAATACATGCACACAATTTTTTCTAATTATAGAGGTTTTCTCAGAAGACTAACGTTTGGTTTGATTTATGAAGTTTTTCGAATTATCGAGTGACTACTGCATTGTAATAGGTATACATGATTATATAATATAATTATAATAAAAACAAAAAAAAAAAATCTAATAATTTAGTTTTATGTTTAATGCGTTTTCGTTTAAATATAACGTGGTAAAGTATTTAAAATTATTTTATTATTTCTTTTTTTACATAAAATTTTTTTTTTGTGCCGTCTACACCCGTAGCGATCAATGGTTTAAAATCAAAAATTAAAAAAGAAAAAAAACCGTACGTACAACGTTATTTCGTATTATGAACGAAAATAATATGCCATGTAGGTGGGGTAGTGTGAATGGGTACGTTGCCTCTACGGCAGGTTTTTGCCGGTTGGATCATAAAACGAGTCAACGGCAATCCCGTCTGGAAACCGACACCGATCGGCGATATTCTTTGCCGAAACCTCCGGAAAAACCGAATGGAAGGTTGATGCGTGTGGTAAATAACGGCCAGTCACAGAATGAGATGATTTTGAAAACGATTTCCGTCGATCTTGTATCGTGCCCTAATTGTTCGTCACACGAAAACCGCAGAACACATATGTAATTGTTATTGTTGAAATTATAGCATTTTATTTTATACATTTAATTAATAAAATAATTCTTGTAGAAATTGCCAGTCCGTATCGTCGTTCATTATCCGCATTTCCAGGTCCCGATGAATTGTCCGTCTCGTTTGTATGACGACACCCCAGGGCGAGCCATTCCTGACCGTCGTTCCTTGAAGCCCAACCGTTCCATGGGGGAGAGCTTCAGAAAACTCGATTGTTTGTTTTGTTAAAAAAAAAAAACTTAATGATAAACAAATTGAATTGTGATTGCCATTTTAGAAACAGTTTTTTTTCTTTTCAAACCCGTTTTCCGTAAAAAAAATTGTTTTCTAAACCACGTCGGGCAGGTAACGGGGAAAACACGAATGAATTATGTTTCGAAAAATAAACATATCTCAATATCTCTGCCGCTTAGTTTCTCGTGCCGTCAACAGCGTACACCGTGTGTGCATTATGGCGCGAACGGAATGTAGTACGGGTTCTCGTACACTAGATCGCACGCAGTATTCAAAACTAGCCAGTACGCCGGCGATGGCGCAACCTAATCTTACTCACTCCCGCGTACCGAACGTACTCCACATTCGTTCGGGGTCCTACCAAAATGTACGTCGTGTAACAGTATCATAACATTGCGCGGCATAATTGTCCGTTCGGCTCCCGCAATACCAAAAACGCGACTGTGTAACAGACTTCGTATGGCCGTAAGCGCCGACAACGTGTAACTGTAGTATTGGCCGCGGCGGCATACCTACGCGAGTGTCGGTACACTCAATTACAAATATTAATGTTTTATTCCGGCCGGACGGCGTGCGAGGTGTGTTTTCGTTCGCGGCGCGGTGCGGTGTCCGTTAAAACCGAGAAAACATTTGTCTTGTACAACGCGTCTCGAAAATTTTAAATTATTATTGCCGTGCGTGTTGCGTGTAGCGAACGACGAACGGGACCGCGGTGGCAGTAAAATAATTATTTATTAAAAGAAAAATACATATACATACGTGTATATGTTCCGATAATAATATTAATAATAAAAAAAAAAAAAAGGCGTAATATGACGTGTGTCCGAGAGCGTTTTCGTTTAATTGGTTTCAAATTAAATTATAAATCAAACGCGAGAGCGCGCGCGCGACGTTATTTAATTGGAAAGAGAACGAAACGGCCGCGCTGCTTCTGCTCCCGGCGATCACGCGTAATATTTTTACCTAACTGTAGCTATAAATATTGTCTACGTGATGGTATTAATAATAATAATAATAATAACAACAACAACACGTAAATACGCATTTGTCAGTGCGGACGCGTGTAATCTTGGGTACACGAATGCCAGTTCTACGTTAGAGTTGGTTTTTTTTCCTTCTTTCTTTCTTTCTATATGAATATTACACGTATGCGTATAATATTCACCAATAATATACGGCCGGTGCTACTTGATTTGTACCGCGACGCGTATTCCTGACATTGTCAGGAAATGTGCACCACACACGTTTATATCGTATTTGAAATATATCGCAATAAAATTTAAATTAATATTTCTTAGAATCTTTATTATCCTTACTTATCTATCAGACATTTCGTTGTTTTTCGGGCGTATCTTAGATTCTATAAGGAAATGGGGGTGGGGGGCAAATTAAAACTGATAAATTTAAAGCACTACGATTTCTTTAATTTTAAAAGGCTACGAATTTTTACAAAAAATATCGCTCCGAAAGAAAAACATCAAGAGATCTTTTTTGTTGAATTCTTAATATAGTCGATGACTATAAAAAAGGTCGGTATTTGATTTTCGTTGCAGGTTTTTTTTTTTTTGAATAATTGAGCAAAACCAAAAAAAATACGTAAAAAGTGCGGGAAAATTTACGAAAATATTTTCTTGGACACTTGAAATTTTGACAGAAAACTCACATTTGACTCTTCTAGACGTGGTAAAATGTTCAAACTTTTTAACCATTTTTGAGCTATTCGCATATTTGAGAGTCTTTTACGTAATTTGTATTTGGTAAATACTCCGTGGATAAAATTGATGAACAGAAATACTTGAATATTTGACACGAGGTTCTTTAAGGGTGGCACTATTAGTGGTAAAAAAAAAAAATGCAGAGTAATTTAAAAGTATTTATTTTTTTTTTATTTATTTAATCTTTGAAAACAATAAACGTTACGTTACATAAAAACTGTTTTTCGATTAATGCGAAAAAAATTCGTTTGCTGTCGAAATATGATGCTCGAACGGTTCGGCGGTGTTTGAAAAAAAAAAACAAAACAAAACGAATCGCCCTAGTTTTATAACATTGTCCCCGGTTCGACAAACGCAATAATGTTATTGATTCGCCACGATTCGCGATACTGTTTCGTCGTGTATCGTAATAATATCATAATGTGAAAACGAAAAAGAATCGGACTTACGATATAAAATAATATTATATTTCTGTGTCGACCGCGTAGAAAACACTACGGTTCAAAGACAATCGTATAATACATAATACTGTAAAACGGAATGAAAAAAAAAAAAAAAAAAAACGAGTACAGTCACATAAATCTCAAAACTTATTATAATAATATTATAGATATACATGATGTAACCGTCACGCACGGTGGCGGCAAAATTATTTTCTTTATATTATGCGCCGTACGATTATATTATGCGGAGAGGTATATTTTATGTAAACCATTGTTGTTCGCGTTTATAACGTATAGAAAAATGCTTTTTTCTTCTCTTTTTTTTCCCCCTGTCTCTTTTAAACCGCTGTATCCAATAAAAAAAAATACGCGACTCCGAATCGTGAGCGTTTCCACAATCACGAAATTCTAATTTCAAAACCGTGCAAACTTGCTACACATTATTACGTCCTATAAAATAATAGACAATAACGTGTAATGTTTGTTGCG